CGGCATTTATGTTTGTTTTTTTCATCTCTTTTTTTTTTTTTTTTTAATTTGTCGCTTGGTCTCATCTGTTTCTTCTTTTATTCATTGTTTTTTGTTTTTCTTTTTTTTTTTTTTTTTTTGATAATTACTTCATTTGCAATCTTTCATGAAGCAATAGAAAAAAGCGCCGTTAATTAAAAACGCAAACGCGAACGCGAGATCGAGTCGACTCGGATTGAGGCGAGGCGAGGCGAGTTGAGTCGAGTCGACTCAAGACTGAAGGCAGATGAGCGTCGATTGCCATTGATGAGGTGAGAGAGGGGGAGAGATAGTGAGAGAGGTGGGCGGAGAGTGGACGGGGGCTGGTGTAATAGGAGGGGGTGTAACTACAACTGACACTGTCAGTGTCAGTGGAGCTATGGCAGAGGGAGGGGGAGCGGAGTGAGGGTGCGGGTGAGGGAGATCTCAGTTGTTATAAAAGACCAACCAGCACCAACATATTTTCACTTGTCTTTAGCGGGCTGTAAAATAATAGGGAGGGGGGCGTGGCAGTTGATTCGCTCTTATGCAACGAAAAGAAAATTTAGCGTAAGACAAAGCAGCACAAGCGAGTCCACAGAGAAACGCAATGTCATAGACAGAAGAGAAGAGCGGAGAGGTGTAGCCAAGCGAGCATGCCCAATGCGAATACCCTGCAACAAAGTGGAGTGCTAAGAGGGAACTGGGCCACGACTATTTCATGTAGCCATTTATACAGCGCAGGAAATAAAAGAAAAAAGAGAGTGTGATCGACTGTCGAGGCGATACCCTGTAAAAGTATTAAGAGCTAAGAAGGAATTGATCACTATGACAAGGCCTTAGAGATCTGACTGGAGATTTGATTGAAATTACTTCAAATTACTTGGCCTGCATAAGCCAGCTTGCTCGTCTATTGAATACCCTGTAAATAAGTAACGGGTTAGCAGGAACTGAAAAATGGGAGTGCCTTACTATATATATATAGTAAAGTAAATAAAACTTTTGGAATAAACATGCACGAATACCCTGTATGATGTGCAGCTCCTCCAGTTGCTAATCTAAAATCTGAGTAAACACATGTACTTACCTCTTAAATAAGTCAACTCATAGACATACTTACTTAAAGCTTGCCCTAGTGCACAGCTACCCTGTTTGTAATACTTACAGGGTATGCTATGTACGTACTAAACAAACATCCGTCATTCAGCTGGACTGTAACGACAGTTGACAAAGCAATTTAAGTGGAGTGCCCGATGCTGTCTGCAGGTTCCACTGCTTGCAAGCGGTGCAAAGCAGTGCAAGCTGCCGCCGCCTTGCGGCAGATGGCGCCACTTGCGCAATAAATAAAATCGACAAACGCTCAAGAATTCTTTTCAAAATTTCTGTTTAATTCATAATGCTCTTTGTTTTGCTTATATACATATTTAAATATGTGTGTGTGTATGTATGTATGTGTGTGTGTGTGTGTGTGTGTATGTGTGTTTTGGAGGCATATGTAGAGCGATTTCTGTGGTAGTTTCAACCATATTTTACAACTATGTAATTCTTATTTAATTATTTATTTATGTTCTCAAATGATTTTGTTTACCGTTTTAACTGTTTTCGTGTTTTATTTATTTGGTTATTACTTCTTTTTTATAACTAGGCTAGGGACAGGCTGGAAAAAGTGCTCAATTTTTGTTACTCACTTTTTGTTTATTATTTCACTTGGTTTTTTTTTTCAACATTTACATAATTAATTGTTTTTTCTTTTTTGATTATTTGTTTTGGCTAAAAGCAAATTTATATATGTATATATGTTTCTTTTCTTTTTAAATTCAAATTTCTATTTTTCTTATTAAATTTTTGTCTAATTTTTTACTGGCTCTTTACCTAATTATTAATCAACAAGACAAAAAAAAAGTTATGCTTTTCTTTTTTCTTTTTTTTTTTAATAGTTTTTGTTTAGCTAACAAATGTCAAACAGAGGCAGATGGGACTAAAAACAGTATTTGAGTGAGAGAGAGAGAGAGAGAATGACGGAAGGACGATCGAGAGATTGTCTCTCTGTGTGTGTGTGTGTTCGTCTGTTATTCATATTAGCATCACATCCTATCATAACGTAATTTGAAGAGTTGTTTAACAATTTGGCTTCACAGCTAAAGTTCGTGTCAAGCTTAACGGCAAGTCTAAGCTGCAGGCAATCAAATCTTAAACTTAAATTCAACAAGAGACTGAAAAGTCAATAAAAGCTCTGCCACATGCATAGTGCATGTTAAATATTTAACAGCTAATCAAACTGCTTGCTAAGAATTTTTACAGATAAAGCAGTTCGCTTCAATTCGTTAGAGAAGCTGAGTCTCTCATCTGTGCTATCGATAAATAATCGATTTATTTGATAGAGAGAGAGAGAGAGAGAAAGCCTTAACAAAAGTAGATTGAGCAGTTTCCTGTCTCTGTGTAGTGTCATCGATTCTGTTATCGATACATTATCGATATACGCATTGACAGCCAGGGTATGAGTAAGAGAGAGAGCAAGAGTTTGTAAAGAAGAGCACATGTGAAGTATAGTATATATATTATATATAGTATAGTAGTTAAGTATATATCATGATTTGTATTTAGTGTATATATATACATAGAGCTCAATATATATATATCGATGTATATATATATTCATAGAGAAAGGCACAGATGAAATTATTATATAATTAAATTTTGTGTTGTTCGGATTTCGTAAGTTCGATTTGTTCCAGGTGTTGTATTGTGTCAAAAGTTTCTCTAAATTTGGGCATTTGTGGTTTTTCCGGCTATCGAACTATCGACTTATCGATTTTTACAAAGAGTGTACAAATGCGACGCGTCTTACAGATCATGCTATTAAATTGACAGTTTTCCTTTCTACATTTCTAAGTTCAAGTGTTTCCTCACTCTCTTTAAGAACTTGTCTTAAAAGAGTTTAGCTAACTTTCTTTCTTCCTTTTGGCTTAGCTATGGTAATTCGTTGATAGAGTCACATTATATATATACACACATATATA